CCTAAATATTAGGACCATACCCAAAAATAACCCAACATTCGTTCCTTCTCCATTATGTACTAAACCCTACCATTACCACACTAATATCCACATCTACACTTCAAACAAATGATACCAAGTAGGTCCAAACACAATTCCCCACTCCATAAAACATAAACAACGGACAATAAAACTCAAATAGATTGGAACTACTCAAACCCTAACCATAAACTCTAATCTATGGAAGGCATGAGGTGGCAATACAAGTTCCAACCTAGAATAGATAGATCAAACACTATATTTTAGATAATTGCAGGGGAAGAAGTAAACTCACTTTTGAAATCACCTAGGCTCCTCGGAAACCCTTGTTTGGTTGCTAAAAAAATGAGTGAGAGATGGATGGATATAAGGAGGGAGGGGCTATCAAGTCCCCTACCTTAGCACCAACGGGCCTAGTGCTGAGGTTGGGAGCTCAGCGCCAATCGGGTGATTGGCGTTGAGACATTGCCACGTTGGCGAGGGGATCGGTGCCCAGGCCACATTAGTAGGGGTTGGCGCCAATTCGATTGCCGTTGAGCCATTAGACCTTAGTGCCAATAGGCCTAGTGCTGAGCTTTGGCCTATTTTTTGTTGATGTTTTTCTTCTGTGAAAGGGTAATTGAGTCAACACGATAATTTGATTAATCATGGACCACGAGTACATATAGGCACGTACATCCTTATCTCTACAACTGACTTATAAAAACATAATCATGAGAGAATCAAGGAAAACCGACAAGAGATAAGAATACAAAATTGTATCTCTATCATTTTGCATAGTCTAGTCTGAAATAAGTTTTTGAAAAGAACCAATCTATCATTTTTTTGGCAAAAGCGGACCTATAGCTCAGCGGTAGGCGTAGAGCGTGTGGATTTTAACCATGTGGTCATGGGTTTGATCCCAACGGTCGGCGCTAGCAGAGGCGCTGACAAGCAGTAGCTATAGGTCTGACCCCTATAAATTGGTGCTCGGACGTCCCTCATCCCTTTTCGACCATCGTCGTTGCCCCTCACCCTCTCACACGAGCTCGGGCCTACCATCAAGTGCATGTGGTTTTTTTTTCGTAGTCTTCCATGGTTTATCGTTTCTCCTTGGGTATTGGACCTTTGGTCGCCCATGTAATAAATACAATATGCTTTCGCTTATGTACTTTGATATTTATCAACTTATTGTGTACCTTGTCTCCCAATACGAGGATTTATGCATGATTGGAAAGCCTGATTGGGTTATTTCCGGTCGTGGCAAACACCCCAGCTTCACTTCCAACACTGCTCTCATCGCTAGCTAGTTGTCTGCCCGCCTCACCGCTCACGCTTCTATGGATGGCTGTCCACTCATATGGATTTGAACCCGGCGGGATAGGATTTCGCCATTTCACACAAACTACGGATTGGATGTGGAGTAGAGATAGGGAAATTGAGGAGTAGAGAATTTTTTTTCTTATGGGAACAACCTTATCGTCTGCTTTGCCTATATGTATATATATATATATATATATGTATGTATGTATATATGTATGTATGTATGTATGTATGTATGTAACCTGATCTCTATACATTGTCTATGCCCTAAGGGTAATAGCAGCACGTCCGGGCCTCAACAAGAAGCCCAACTCTCCAGGTAGGAAAAAACAAACGATTTTGCTATATCTCACTCGAAAGATTTTTTCTTATCTCTCACTCGATTTTCTCACTCGAATTTACAGTGCATTTTCTTGTAAGTTACAGTGTAATTTATGAAACTTACACTGTAACTTTTGTAAGTTACACTGTAATTTTTGAATCTTCACATGTAAATTTTAAATTTTGTATTGGATTTGGTCTTTTTCTTGAGGATATGGTAATTTAATGTTCATTATGGTGTTTCTTAATTGCTTTTTGCTTTTTATTATATCTATCGGATTTTAATATAAAGATTAAAAATCTGTGTGATATGATTATAAAAATCTTTCGAAAGATGTATAGGTACTCCCAAAACAAATGAAGCTCCCATCTCCCTGGTGCACGCATGGCTTTAGGTGGGCCCACCACCAATTTTTTTTTCTCAAGCCAGCCCCACCACGAAAATCACTTTCCTCAATCATCTCCTTCCCCCAGCAAATCTCCCGCACTATGTTGGAGGCGACAATGCAGCTTGGAACGATCACCGCGCAAGCGCCGTTCCTCTCCCTTCCCTGAGAAATCCCTGACGAGAAACTCACGACCTATTTTGGCTCCCCGTTCTTCACTTGGTCAGAGAAGCATATGTGGCGTGAAATCTTTGATGTAGGAGACTGAGACTAAATGACACCTATACACATTGTGAAAGCCCTAAGAAAAAATGAGCTAGTGAGGGCACCTTGATATTTTCACAGCCTTTACCGAAATTACGTGCATATTTGAAAAATGGATTTTTATAGTTGAATAGATGAACGGTAACCAACAAAGGAATAGAGGAAAACCAGGTTACTTCTGTTTCAGGGCTACGGTGTGCTCGTTTCTCCTGTTTGAAAATATGTATTTATTCTTGGTTTTTGCAAAAATGGTCAGAAGCCGACCTAGCTCAGTGGTAGAGCGCGTGGCTTTTAACCACGTGGTCGTGGGTTCGATCCCCACGGTCGGCGCTTAAACTTTATTTTTGGAAAATTTTTCCCTATTTTTAAACTGTTTAGGTATGTACGTACAACTGCTACCAGTGTGTTCATGCTGTAGATTGCCCTGAAAAGGATTATGCATGAGAGAAATTATGTAAACAAAATTAGGTGGTTAACACCATGATTTTATAAGTAATAAACCAATTGCAGAAACACTAAAAGACAATAGCAGAAGATGCTTAGTAGATTCGAACTAAAAGACCATTTATGCTCTGGAAGGGAAGGGGCATAGGAAATAAAGAATAATGGCATATCAAGCAAAGTAGCAAACTATCCTGTTAAGTATAAATAATGTCATACTCTCAACATAGAGGATTCAACTATCCATGATCCGCCAAAAAAAAAAAACAAACCTTCTCCTAATGCATTGTATCCATTGGTTAATTCTGGATATGGCTTCAGCTTTGTTCAAAAGATCTACAAATGACAGCCATTACTGGCAACCATGAATTTGCTGCTTCCTAATGAAATTATTGATACAAAAAATTACATACATCAAATATATTGCAATCATTTTGACCCATGCTCAAGATTTGCAGAGAAACTCACGAATTACATAAGTAGAGGTTAACATTGGGACACTAACTCACTCTGATGCAAGAATAATCCTATTAAAAATTCGGATGACTATATGAAACCAAAATTAAACAACACATTTTCCTATTTTTTATAGAATTTCCCTTCTATTTTCTACACAAAGATTCGGACACCTTCATCCGAAACAGACACTAATCAGGACAAACTCATGGTGATATTCAGAAGTAGCAAGTTGCAATTGTTGATGCTTCAGCTGAACATAAGCATCCATATTACAAATCCAAATACTACTACCTGGTAGTACCTCAACTGTACTCAAATTACTTAATGGTAATCTACAATCGTCTCTGGCCACTATCGGATCTGAAGCATTGTTCGCCACACCGGCGTTTTGGGTCTTCTTGAGCCGGCTCCGTCACTACCTCCATCTGGTGTTGCCAGCTCCAAGCCACTAGGAGACATAACCATGGAGGAGGAGCTGGAGAGCGGCCAGGAGGGAATGAATCGACGCAGTGGCATTTTGGATGGGAAGGACAGGAGGTGTGGCCGCCGCCGGAATAGGGGATCGATGGAGGATACTGTGCAGCAGTACAGATGGAGAGGGGGCCAGCGGTGGCGATAGGGTCTGATGTGACCATGGCTACTACGGATACATCCGTTGCTCACATCATGGATGAACAACAAGATATCAAGTTCAAGTCCTCCAAGTGCTGGAATCTGATTCGGCCACCTACTACACTGCTGACTTCAAACGGCCGCCGAATCTCCATATGACCTCCGTTTTCGGCCCGTGAGTACTTGATGGAAAGCTCTCGGAGTCCTCTTTCCAATGCATCAAGCCTCATTGCCAAATTTCATCTCAGTCGGCAGCAACTGAAGAAACAAGGTGCTGCGACACCTGTAATGGGCCTATGGGCTTGTAACTTCGTCTGGGACCCCGGCCTAAGTGGGGCCCATGTGGGGTGCGCCCCAATCAGGTGGAGGACGACCTAGGGTCCTCCTATCTCTATAAATAGCTTGGTACCCCTTCAGGGTATCGCGGGTTTTGATAGATTAAAATTTAGCCATTGCTACTTGCTTGTAGCGTGCGTGTCGGCTAGACCGTCTGTCTGCTTGTTCTTTGGAACCCCAACTTATCATTTGTATTAAATTTCTATTTGCAATATCATATTGCTTTTATCTTGTTCTTGCTTGTTTCTTCGATTTGCTTGCAGGAATAGGGTTGATCTGCACCGGCAAGATCAACAACCCACGGAGAGGTGTATCGATCGCTAAGGCGCAACACAACGTCTCGTACGGTTGTAGTCGGATCGTCAACGTATCTCCCAAATCGTAGTTATCACAACTCACCGAAAGATCGGGCCAACAACAGCCTTGAGTGTTGAGAGGAACTCAGGGTTCATCAGGGTCTTGGAGAGGAGTCGATGAGGCAGCGGCAGCGGCAGCGGCGGGTGGCTCCAAGGTCGACAACGACGATGAGTGCGAGACAGCGCCGCGAGTGCGAGAAGGCAGAGCATCAGGGTGGGTGCTAGACCCATTACAGGTGTCGCAGCACCTTGTTAGTTTTCCTCGTATTTTGATCATGCTTGCTGCGTGATCTCAACAACGAAGAGAGCGACAATAGTACAGCTTGAAATTGGTAAATAAAAACCAGCAACTTAAGAGGAACAAAGCAAATAAAAACCGGCAATTAATAGAAAACATTTGGCCAAATAAACCAAATAAACAATCAAGAAATGGAGTAAAGCAACAACAAAAAAACAAAAAGCCACAACAAAAAAACAAAATCCAAACAAATTCAGTTAAAATTTCGGGATCAGATGGTAAAATGATGGGGATGCCCCTGTTGTCGTAACAGGCTTGGGTTGGGGCGGGCACCCCTCTCGCAGTAAAAGTTGCGAGATGTTACCACTCCTCATCTCCCTTTAACTGCCTGAAGGATCATGCCTATGTAAGGCGAGATCGACCTCCTTTTATAGCCTGTCTCCGATGCCCCCTCGCTCTCTCCCGCCGAGGTGGGACTAAACCTGCTGCTCTCTACTGCCAAGTGAAGTGGCATCACCACATTGGGCCGTAATCTCACTAGGCCCAACTTGTTAATTTTACTTGAGTTAGTTGATTTGAATTGTTTTGTCATAAAAGGGGATGTAGCTCAAATGGTAGAGCGCTCGCTTTGCATGCGAGAGGCACGGGGTTCGATCCCCCGCATCTCCATTATTTTTCTATAATTTTTTTTGTAATTTGGTTCTGAACTGAGTTGTATGTTTTTTCAACTTCTTTTAATTTTTTAAATTTGGTACTGAACTGATTTTTCTATAATTTTTTTTTTAATTTGGTACTGAACTGAGTTGTATGTTTTTTCAACTTATTTTTTTTTTTGTAATTTGGTACTGAACTGAGTTGTATGTTTTTTCAACTTCTATGTGATAATTTAAAAGCTGAGTTTGGTACTGAACTGAACTATATGTTTTTTCAACTTCTTTGTAATGGTCTAAAAGCTGAGTTCATATGTTTGTGTTTATCAGCTCCGTAATTGAAAACTGACCTAAGATGTTAGTTTTTTTTTTCAATTGTCTACTCTGAAACTAAGCTGAGCAGCCAATTTTTGAGTGCTAGGTGTGTTATTTGGATTTGGAGTTCTTATGTAGTTTGATTTGGAACTGAAGTGAGCAACCAAAATTTGAGTGCGAGGTGTGTAATTTGGATTTGGAGTTTCTATGTAATGTGATTTGAAACTGAACCGAGCAACAAAAACTTGAGTGCGAGGCCTATAATTTGGATTGGAGTCTTGCCTCTGTCCTTTTCCGTTGAACATTTCAATTGATCCACTCTTTAATTTCCTTGACAGTATAAAATCATATACCCCTCAAAAAGGTTGCAAATTTTGAATACAAAAACAATATAATCAGATATACAACTAACACAGACAAGGAGACTTCTCAGACAAGCACAGAGATCACTGGGCGTGGAGCTCACAAGAACGCGGCGAGATCAGCCGCGTCGGCGGCGAGCTGTGTCGCGCCGCCCTTGCGCCGCGCCAGAGCGAGCGCCAACGCGGCGGCCGCCGCGGCGAGGACGACGAGAAGCAGCACGGCGAGGCCAGCGGACAACCACAGGCGCCGCCGCCGCGCGGCGACGCGCAGCCGCTGGGCCTCCCTCAGCTCCCCCTCGGCGGCGCCCACGTCGCCCGCGGCCGCGGCCACGTGCCGCTCGATGTCGTCGACGCGCGCGCCCTGGGACTCCACCAGCGCCGCCATGTCGAGGAACAGCTGCTGCAGCTCGAGGAGGCCGCCCTCCACCTCCTCCGCCTCCGAGGAGGACTTCATGGCCGCCCGCACCGCCGCCTCGGCGTCGGTGTTCGCCCCGCCGGCGGCGACGAGCCGGTCCAGCTGCTCCTCGGTCGGGGCCTCCCCGGCGACGGCGAGGTAGCAGCGCGCCGCGTCGCCGCGGCGCTCCGCGGAGACCTGGCGGCGGAGGACCTGGACGCCCGCGGTGAGGTCCTGCAGGCGGCCGCGCAGGCCGGCGGTGGCGGCGGTGGTGGCCGGGGCGGGGGCGCGGCGGTCCATGGACGCCAGCCGCGCGCGGAGGCGGCCGGCGGAGCCGATGAGGCGGACGAGCGCGGCCTGCGTGGCGGCGCGCGGCGCGCCGGGGCGGAGCAGCGCCTTGGACGCCTCGTGCGCGGCCTGGAGGCGGGACAGCTCGTCGCGCAGCGCCGCCATCTCGTCCTTGGCGGCCTCCGCCTCCCGGAGGAACGCCTCGAGCTTCTGGTCGCCGGGACCCCCGCCGCCGTCTTGCCGATCCAGCGGCGCCGCCGCCGCAGCGGCCGCGCCGACGAAGGAGTCGGTCATGAGATCGTTCATCTTGGGCGCAATTGGGGGAGATTGCTGAGATCGATCTCGCAAATCTGGGGCAACAAAAAACGCTGACTTTTTTTTCCATTTCTTTTCGATTAAAGACGACGGCGACGGCGAGGTCGAGTTGTTTGGTTGGAATTTTGATTTTATAAGATAACCGCACATTCAAGTTTGAATATCCATAGAATTTTTGAGGTTTTATTTTCTACGTATAGTGCGTTATTTGAGACTAGTAATATGTCCGTACTAACGTTACGGCAAAATTTGGTAATACACGTGCAAAGCATATGGTAAAAATATAAGTTAAACTGAGAGCATAAAGCTTTACTGGTAATGCAGCCGGAAAAGTTTACCTGGCACATGAAATTCATGTTACCAAGTAATAAATAAATAAGCATGTATTTAAACCACGTTGTATAAAAATACAAGTGCGTTTAAGGATACAATAATACACAAATAATACACAGCTCCACCATTGTACATGGTATAAAATAAATGCAAAAAAAAAATAACCCCTCAAAGATGAAGGAGCAGAAAATGGACACAAAAGTCACTCTGATCATCCAATGCTACTGGCCATACAAAATTTATGCGTAAAATTTGTCATTTAAATTAACCTAATTATTATTCTGAGAATGATAATACGCATGCTACAATCTGATTCAAGTGCCCGTAAAAAAAGATCTCAGCAAATTTGGTAGCAGAATTCAGTAAATTGATAATGGTCGCTTACTTATGTTTGTGCTTCAACTGTCCAAGTGGAAATAAAACAGAGAAATTAACTTACTAATTTGTCAAAATGCCCAACTGAAAACAACACAATTGAATTGCCAGCTATATCGAAAAGCCAAAAATCAGGATTATTCATGTTGTAGCTCAGCAACCAAAAGTATGAGATACGGGATTTCAAACATTACTACTAATATTTACCACATTAGCTAGAAAGGCGATAAGCTATAATATTAGGAATGATTATAGGAATATTGAACATCTGAATAGAAAATGTAGGATTATACGATATTACTAATCTGCCATATCTGGCTTTCGTTCAGACCTAGAATACACCTGAATAAAAATACACATGATTAAAGTTGTTGCTCCAACCCTCAGGCCCTCATGAGGCTCATCCTGCGGCAAACACACTTAAATTGTTTGTCTAGAAGGTTGTTATTGATAGCAAAATATAGAGCAAGCAAAGACCAGTAGGTATTTCCTATAGGGTTGTTTTCACTCTCCATGAATCCTTCATGTCAAGATAATATAATAAACAAGCTAAGAAACATCAATCCTAATACCGGATTAACATAAGTAAATTTCTTTTGTAGCTGCAGCTCTTTCTCCTAGAGGCATTAATATGTTGCGGCAACTATAGCAAATCAATATGAAAAAGAAAGAAAAATATTATCCATTACCAATCCTTGAACTCATGACCTCTTGAGTTAACTATTTTTTATCTTCAATGCACTAACAATCTCAACCTCATATAATTACATGTAAATATGTGATTTGTATTATTTATATCTAGTTACTTGACATATATTAATATTTGGAAAAACGTCTTTACATCGTTTTAAATGCCTTAAGAAAATGCCTTTACATATGAAACAAATTTTAAAGTGCCGAAAAGATGTCTCTACAAGATAAATTTAACAAAGTATACTAAAAATGTCTCTAAAGTGTCTCTAGAGTAAAAATATTTTAGGCGATTTTGAAAGTGCCTCTAAAAAGTGTCTCTAGACTATAGAGCTTCAAAACTTAGAGGCATTTTGAAAATTGTCTCTACAAATGAGCCTCTACATAAGGTTTTTGTTATAGTGAAAGCAAAGGTGATACTGATCAATTATGTGATTTGCAATGTATGTCTATGGAGTGATATGTGGGAAAAGTGTTTTCATCCCTCGAGGGGATATCTCCTAATTTTGTGCATGTCACCTAAATAGTTATAAACAAATTTGAAAAAAAAAATCACAAGAAATGTGCACCAATACTCAAATGTATAGCTCAATGCTCAGAGCAGCAGGGTTTTTCACGAGCACCTTATATGCATAAAACTACACACAACCTATATGGATGCTTGGCGCTGTTCACAGCAGCAAGTCCACGAGGCCAAGGTCTAAGTGGTCGATACAGCATCATTTAGCTTTTTGACATGCACAGCTAAGAGCTACGACCATCAATCCGTAGCTTCAGGGAACAAATATATAAGAGGTAGACTCAGTGTAGAAAGCAGAAAATTGAGAACCATAGGATAACCATGAAGAGAACCTGTCAGTCTTGGCTGTTCTATACTTTGCTATATAAGAGTAGCACAAAATCTACCATCGCAAAAGATATGGAGAACATAAAGATATCAATTCTTCTCTAAGATCAATGTGTAAACTAAATTTGTAAACACTTTATCACATGATATCTCAAAGAAACATGTATGCTGCCCCCATAATTTCATTTGAAAATACAAGCTGATGCTTAGATTATCATCGATAGTACGATTGTAACATATATACTCTATAGTTATTATACTCCGTCTTGAGCTGCACCTCCTTCCTCGGTGCCCGCAGATTTACTGGTCCCAGGAATATCTTAGAAAAGCACCTTCCAAGCCCAAAAAGCACAGAAACAATATTAGAATATCACAAATCCCTCAAAAAAACAGGTTAGACAGAAAGCAAGAACAAGTTCAAACCTTCTCTGTTGTAAAAAAGAAGAAATACCATGTGCATTGCTCAGGAGTAGAGACGCAATGTCTCCGTCGCTTATGAGGCACGTTGCTCGATCCAAGTCCTACTCAATCTCATCAAGTCCATCCACTGTCACAATTAGCACATTGCCACGATCATTCAACAGCAAACACATTTTAGCGACACAGTGATTCAGAAAGACGAGGTGGTGTCCCGAGCTGTGCTGACGATTGAATGAAGAGTAAGGGCCACCACTTCGGTGTCAATCCCACCAACGGGCGGCTGTCGTGGAAGCTCGCTCTCGCTCGGCCTCCCACCGCCAGAGCCGCATCGTCGCGCCATTGCTCGCCCCGTCGTCGGTCGATGCATCCCACCTCCAGATCCCTCCTCCCGTTCTTCCTCGCCGAGTCGCCGGTCGCACGTACAGTGGCCGTGGAAGGCGAGGCAGCTATGGGGAAGGGATTGGGCGAGGTGGCGACGCCGTCGGCGTCCTCTGTCCGTGCGAGGAAGCTGCATGCGAAGGCCGAGGACCGCGCGATCGATCAGGTGCAGTGGCAGAAGGGTAGGGGAGAGAAGATCGCCAATGCGGCGACGTGATTTGGGGGATCGGCGTGGGACAGGGGAGGGCGGGGGGGGGGGGGGGGGGCGCAGAAAATCTGGGAGAGATTGGTTTGCCGGTAGGAGGAGAGAAGGTGGGTTAATCCTGAATCGTTGGATCTCAGGGAGACGATCCTGACCGATAGAATGAGGAATGTAACACTGTGTTGGTAAATTATAGGGTAGATTTGAGAAGACGGGTGATTAACAACGTTATCGTTTTGTTTATGCGCATACCAAAATTTAAATTTTAAAACATAATTTTAATTTTAAAGTTGATTTTGTGTTTGTTTTATTTTTAAAATGACGTAAAGTTTTACTTACAAATATCTTTTGGCTTTTAATTAACCGTACATATAAACGTAAGCAAAAGGAAGCAGTGAACCTATAACATGTGCATAGCCTCATGTGTACTTACCATGTGCATATCATGATGTGATTTTTGGATATAAAATTGGTTCTCCTTTAGAATATGATTTTTAAAACACGGAAAACGTAGAATTCAAGTGCCTTGGCACCTGAAATTCTATCAAAAATTTATGGGTTAAAAATATACTGAAAAACTGTAAAAAAAAAACCTTCTAGATGGAGTGTAGAAAAAAAAGAATGAAAAATAGAGATTAGGCACATAAGATTTTTTTCCCTATAGGTCGAACCTCATGTTAAAAATCCTCTAAAATAATTATGATAGATAATCCTAAGGAATTTAATAGGATATTTGGAATTTGGAATTGCTATTCCTTTGTTACAAATGGATATATAGAAAAAAAAATTTCATAGGATGTGAATCCTGTAAAATTCCTCCAAAATTGAAAAAAACAAAGGAATAGGAAAAACACATGATTCTGGCAGGAATACAAGTGTAAAACAGAGGATTGAAAAACACAGGAAAAACATAGGAATGGCCGTTTGATTGGACCATAGGAAAAACGCAGGAATCAGATAAGAGAGATAGATTCAGAGGAAATGTTCCAAGAGGTTAGACCTCTTGCTAACTTTCCTCCAAAATGTACATAGGATTACTCATTCCATAGGAATTTTAAAGGCTTGGATATGATTCAATCCTTTGTTTCAAAGGCCATAGGATTTTTTTACTATAGGATTGAAATTCTCCAAAATTCCTATATTTTTCCTACAAATCAAAGGGGCCCTTAGAGGGTCATTCTAATAACGGACATGAACTTAACATACCAATTTGTAGCTCAGCTGGTAGGGACCTGTTGACGAAAAAAATCGAACACACCGGCCTGGGAGATCTGCTTAGCTCATGTGCAGGTCCAAAGATTGATGATATGCGGGCGTGCCAGTCAGTTTGATCCTGCAACTGATAAGATATGTAAACAGCAGATCAAAACAGCCGATCGGTTGACAAGCCGATGGAGTAGTTCCAGCCGGTAGCCAATAATAGCCGATGCTGATACCAGCCGATAGCGATAGGGTTTAAGCAATCGGCTATATGTCCAATGTAGATAACGATATAAAGGCAATCAGCTGATGATGATGCAATAAAATAACAATATAATCCAGTATAAACCAATCGGCTAGCAATGATATGATAAATAAGCATCGATCCGAAGGTTAAAGCACACATCGGCTGGAGGTCCGATGTCATGAAATCCACAAGATTAGATTAAACAGTGAAACCTTTGTTGTCATCGGCGAAATCCAACTTATATGTATGTGCAATCCTTATGAGCCGATGCAACGTCCAGATAACTCACCGGCTGAAATCCCGATGAAACCCTTATTGGCAATCAAGAAGCAGGCTAGAGATTATGTTTCTAAGCACGACTTAGTAGATCAAACTTAACTGATGCAGCACTAAGTATGAAAAGAAACATAATATCTAGACAATCAAGCCGTTGACTGAATTTTCAGGGTGGTAGATGTCTAAGCTAATCTAATCTAGCAACACGATTTAGCCGATACCGGCAGAAACCCTAAAACGAGAAGCAGCCGATAGAGCTAAATTGATATGCTAAGACTAGATTAACAGAGACATATGATAAATAGGTAAGCAAGTATATCATCCAAACCAGAGCAATCCAAGAGGTCGAACGTACTGATGCAACCTTGAACGACGCCGATGTAGATGAGACAATTGTCTGGGCCGACGGAACATTGGACTTACCCTTTCGCCGGAGATCGAACACCGATGCAGCCCCGCGTCAGGTGCCAAGTCCCGCCGGACGATAAAATAAAGTAAAAAAGGTAAAAGGTGGCGATGCGCCAAATTGTATTGATCGTGAGATAGATTACATAGACCCTAGGTGTACATATTTATACCCAAGGGTTGATACAAGTCCTTGTCGGATAAGAAAGAAACTAACCTAAAGATAAAAAGAAAATATAAAGTCCTTATCGGACACTAAACACACTTTCCTAAAGATAAAAGGAAACTAACAAACTATTCCTAATTAATAGATAAACTGCCATGCCGCATCCTCTTTAAACTCGGTCACTTAGGGATAAGTTCCCTTTAGTAGATTGATTTCCTTAACCGAATATAGCAGGAATCCGACTATTGGCGACTTGATAACTCCCATCGGCTGATTCCGAGATGCTGCAGCCGATAATGATTCTAAGCCGATTACCAAATTTCACTGTTAACAGGACCAAACAAGAGGCATGTGCGAGTGTGCGGTCTGTGTATATGGTGGTGCGTGATTTGTGATCCGTAAGCACTTGCACCATGATGGCTTGGCTCCGATGCGCATCAATGAGACCAGCCACATTGTGAACTAAATTTAAAACTACACTAGGTTTTTTATTGGAATACTGACAAGATGTCCGTGTTTTGCAATAGGATCATAACATATTTGGAATTGAAGGTGGTGGTGGTGGGAGCGACACAATCCACGATGTGGGCCATTGCCGTATTCTTTCATGTCAACTCGTTAAAATTGGCCACACCATGTGAGCGAGGGTGACGAACATAATATCTATATATTTTTTTAAGTAAGATGACAAAAGGTGAATTATGCGTTTAGGATGTTTACCCTCATAAAGAAGTTGTTGGTGACATGCATACCATGCGCGCCGGTTAGAGGAGAGATGGTGGTCTACCATGATTTGGTGCACAAAGGGAGTCCACGGAAATTCGAAAGCTAGATTAGATCATGATACAAGGGACAGCTAGGATCAACCTATAGTTCGGATGGCTCGGATCTAAGACGGGTATACCAATCGAGATCCACATGTCAATCGACGGGCAACTGATGCATTAGACCCACCTATCAACTCGGGTGATCAAACACTACTCCATATGGTTGCTGGAGATAGTGCACATCAATAGACAGAGGGGACTAGCAGAAGGAGGAGAATGAAACGATTTTGACTAGCATACACGCAAAGGTAAATAACAATGGAAGACAATCGACCACGAGTTTTTGCACTGCAACTCATTTGGTCTTAAAAAAGGGGGTTCACCAGCAGGCTTCAATGGGAGAGAGTTGTGCCCAAGGATCTTGTAACTTCTGCGATCATTGAAGTGGATCGATGGTGCTTCGAAGGGCAACAATGATGACTAGAGTTGATGATGCATGATGGAGAGATACGAAACTTTGTGCTACAGCTAGGGCAATCGACAACTCTAGAGGGGCTTGAGGGTGAGGATATGGGAGCCCTATTATGAGGGAGGGGATGTTGACACAGAGACTACAGTGTGGCAGCAATATTTTCCTTGATGACGTAGCTAAGTCAAGCCTATTAACATGACGGCGTCGAGGATGACATGGACTCCTACCGAGAAAGAGACATAACTTACAATTGGGCTACACCTATTACTGACAGCAAAAAGCTGGTGGCATTGGGCTGACTCGGGCAATTGCACGCATGGAGAATAACACATGCCAACGTGGTTGAATGTGCAGAGGTTTTATTCGCGTGTCACGCTTGATAGACAATGGGAATATTTTTTTTCTAGATGTATATAGATAAGTGATCTGTGCGTTGCAATATATACCGATTATACCATATACTAATTATGACACACTGATATATATAACACGGGTATCGGATTTGGATTTGCTTGGTAACCCAGCTGAACTCTCTGAACCGGTTTTCTTGTGTCTCGTCGCATCGCCTTATGTCTGATAACGATTTTAAATATTTTCATATATTTTTCTCAAATAATTTCAAGACCGGTAATTTTTCTTAGTAAAAGATATTTTCAAATTTAATTTGATACTGTGGAGGTCGCAATTTGCAAATGCGCTAAAAATGAGCCCGTCACATGATCTACCCCACCAAAACAAAAGGAGAGTAAAGTTTGACTCCACAGTCCACCACCCGTGAAGCTCTGGAGTCGAGCGTGAACTTGGTCCACTACGCCATGGCGGCCGCACCACAGCAATCCGTGCACCCAAGCTTGCCCTCCTCAACCTCAACCCTCCGCCTCCTCATCTCCTCCTCCCCACGACGGCCTCCTCCGCCGCCGCCAAGAGCCCGCCGGTATAACAGGCTCGCGGCGTCGGCTTCGGCGGCGCGGGAGATGCCGTGGCCGCACGTGCTGACGGTGGCCGGCTCCGACTCCGGCGGCGGCGCCGGCATCCAGGCCGACATCAAGGCCTGCGCCGCGCTGGGAGCCTACTGCTCCTCCGTCGTCACCGCCGTCACTGCCCAGAACACCGCCGGCGTCCAGGTAGGTCGCCTGGTTTCTTCTTCTTGATTTTCTCCCCCGTGTGCTCCTGCCTGGGTTCTCTGGATTAAGGAGGGAGAAATGATTGGGGGTTGGTGCAGGGGATTCATGTGGTGCCAGAGGAGTTCATCCGGGAGCAGCTCAACTCGGTTCTTTCGGACATGTCGGTGGATGTGGTGAGCCCCTTTTTGCCTTCTTTTTTTTTTTCTTCCTATCTGCCTTTCCAAGTTCCACGAATCTTTACAGTTATTATATCTTAGCTGGTTTTGGTTCTTGCTACATAGCTTAGTGCACAAAATGCTCTGTGATTTCCATATGTGTGTGATGGGTTGATATTGTGATATCGGTGACGCCCCCTGTTCCAGACACCATTTTTGTGCAGAATTACCAGCCCCTGTTGAAATCTGGTGTGCCACACAAAAATCGAATCTAAAAACTAAAAACTTGGTTGATAGCCCTCAAGCAACCAGTTATTACTTGGTTAATGGGCGTAAAAATTCTATATTTAAAATGCGAATTTTGAGTTGGACTTGACAGCCTGCTGGTAGAGCGGTTATGGGCAGTACCTGCTGGTTTTTGAAACCTTGGATGGCATGCATTTTAGACTAGCAAGATCACTTCAGAAGAACCCTGATTGCAGCGTTGTTTATCTGTCTGGAAAAGTCTTCAGAATAGCTGTGTGATCATTTCTGTCTTAATGAATTTGGTGGTGTTTGGACTTCGGAACACTGTCAACTGCAAACAACTAGCGGATTTTATATTTACAAATGGCAGATTACATTTTTAAATTTCAGAATGTACAGATTCCAAGGTTGCAAGATGTGAACCTTTCTTTGAACTGCTCAAAGTTTCGAATATGTGTTTTTATTTTCTTACCAAGAAATATTGCTGATTTTGCAAATGTTTCTAAAATTCAAGACATGAATGTTGAATTAGGATTTTGGGATATAATTTTCATGCGATGGGATTATAACTTATACAGTGTACATTGTTACCTTTTGAATTGATTAGGTCAAGACAGGAATGCTCCCTTCAATCGGAGTAGTCAGAGTTTTATGTGAAAGTCTAAAGAAGTTTCCAGTCAAAGGTCTGGGAAAACTATCTGCATGCCTTGAATTAACGCATAGCTATGCTAGACTGCCAGCCATATATTTATTTTGTATTACTTGTGCTTCTGAAGGCAGCTTTAGTGGTGGATCCAGTTATGGTGTCCACAAGTGGAGATACTCTTTCAGAATCATCTACTCTCTCTGTATATAGGTACAGGATTCATATTTGGTTTGTTTTATTTGTATTTATAACATCCGGTTGGAATGCTTCATAAAATTTAGTGTAATAGTGCAACATTTGTTTTGTGCAGGGATGAATTATTTGCTATGGCTGATATAGTCACCCCAAATGTGAAAGAAGCGTCGAGATTACTTGGGGGTGTATCTTTGCGCACTGTTTCTGACATGCGCAATGCAGCGGAGTCCATTTACAAATTTGGTCCAAAGTATGTCTGCCATATTTTCATGAATATTATGTTGCTGTTCTTAAGTTCTTCCAGTTACTTATTACACATGCACTTTTCTGTGCTATTACATCCATATATCTGCCCAAACAATGTTGTTAGTATACTTGTGATTAATTTCTTTTTAATTTTTCATGTATGGATATATAAATCTCTTAGTTCCAGAATAAGGAGAATTAATTTGTACCTACCTTTGGGCCTCAGTCTTACTGTTTTGCATGAGAGTGAATGCTGCATTTTATATTCTTAGGCCTTTATTCGATAAGTGCCAAAACTATGTGCCTAGGCGTTGCTATTTGCAGTATTAATGGCATATGCAAGAATGCGATATTTAGATTCCCATTAAATTGTGTCTAGACTAATGTATTATTTTCTGATGCAAATAATTTACCATTTGCAGACATGTACTTGTGAAAGGTGGGGATATGCTAGAATCCTCAGATGCAACTGATGTATTTTTTGATGGTACAAATTCCATAATTCAATACAATACTGTCCATTATCACATCTACATCCTGCCCTTTTAGCGGCCTCATATAAATTCTGAACTGTTTTCATCAGGTAAGGAGTTCATTGAGCTCCATGCGCATCGCATAAAGACCCATAACACACATGGAACTGGTTGCACTTTAGCTTCATGTATAGCTTCCGAATTAGCGAAAGGTGCAACGATGCTGCATGCTGTTCAGGTTAGTCTTCCAGTCCTTTTCCCTGACTTTACCTTCATATAGTGAAGAAACTGTGTCAAATGGTATGTCATGTCTGACCGTGTGATCTTATCAAGCAAATTATTTAGTTCCACCTCCCTTTTGTGGCATCACTAGGAATGTCTTTGCCACAATGGTAACATGAAATTGGTTGAAACAGTTCTGATAATTTTATTATTGTACCTTAATACTATTTTGTTACAAAGCTGCAAACTAAGAAAGGGTTTAGCGACTCTTTAGTAGTAAGGTTTCGATCATTTAAGGGAAATCTGTGTTATTTAAAAGTAGCACTTGACTGGTAGTAACTAGAATTGTATCCACTGAGATGTTGGAGTGCACATTTACTGTATGCAACATCTTGGTTACAAACCAGCCAGTGATATATTGAAAATGTGTGTTTTGGCTTATTTTCTGTCAGAACTCGTTCTCTTGCAAGAACAGTGGTTTGTGCGAAAAAATGTGTATACCTGCAAATCCCATCATATTATCAGAACAAAGCCTGCATAAGTCATCCTGAGACTTTGAGTCTTACCAAATACCAATCTAAGTTTGCTAATCAGTTCCGGTGGACATCGGTTTCCTGAAAATTTGTGTTATATGTATCTTTTCATATCCTCTATTCACAACAGTAGGCTCACTTTGTTGTTTATTGCACATGTGAACTATCCAGGTGGCTAAGAATTTTGTAGAATCTGCTCTTCATCACAGTAAAGATCTTGTCGTTGGAAATGGACCTCAAGGCCCTTTTGATCACCTTTTCAAGCTCAAGTGTCCGCCATACAATGTTGGCTCACAGCCAAGCTTTAAGCCAGACCAACTCTTCCTGTATGCAGTGACAGACTCTGGGATGAACAAAAAGTGGGGTCGTTCAATCAAAGAAGCTGTGCAAGCTGCCATTGAAGGTGGCGCTACCATTGTACAACTGAGGTCTGCCTATTGAAACACAATCATGATCTTGCATGTAATGCAATCCCTCCATTTTATTTTTCTGATGCATTTTGGGTGTTTTTGATTTCCAGAGAAAAAGATTCCGAAACAAGAGAGTTTTTGGAAGCAGCCAAAGCATGCATGGAGATTTGCAAGTCCAGTGGAGTACCACTGCTGATCAACGACCGGGTAGACATTGCCCTGGCATGCAATGCAGATGGTGTCCATGTTGGTCAATTGGACATGTCGGCACACGAAGTGCGGGAGCTCCTAGGGCCGGGTAAAATCATCGGCGTCTCGTGCAAGACCCCTGCTCAAGCCCAGCAGGCCTGGAATGATGGAGCAGACTACATTGGCTGTGGCGGTGTTTTCCCTACCTCCACGAAGGCGAACAATCCTACATTGGGGTTTGATGGCTTGAAGACAGTTTGCCTGGCATCTAAGCTGCCTGTGGTCGCTATTGGCGGCATCAACGCTTCAAATGCAGGTTCAGTGATGGAGCTTGGTCTCCCAAACCTCAAAGGCGTCGCAGTAGTCTCCGCTCTGTTTGACCGTCCGAGTGTCGTAGCCGAAACAAGAAACATGAAATCCATCTTGACCAACACCTCTAGAACCTAGAGCTACTACAATATTCTTTGTTCGAAGGGGATATGTTTATCAAAATGAAGAGATGTTTCCAACTTTAATAATCAGAAGGCATTTCTTGTAATAATGCTTGATCAAAAGCATCTGTGATGCAGGGGAATGAGGAATCACAATCTTGCATCATTGGGATGTAAGGTACAATGTTCAGATTTCTTTTACATCTTTTGAGCAAATTATCCAACAAATTTTGTTGAAAGTTGGTAGTACAAAATGAAAGGGTGAAAGGCTGTAACTTTCAACTTCTTTAAGCTTTCAAAATGAATGTTGATGCTATCATTTAGCTATTCGCTAGTTGTTTTTTTTTTGTCAATCAGTGAACATTTTACAACATATGAAATTGCCACTTTACTTTGCCTTTACTGTACCTTTGACAGTTTATTTTGTTTTACGTCTCTCTACGTATCATGCGCCTTATGCCTATTTAGATTATAAAATTTCTTTTTCATACTTATTAGCATCTGGAAAGGTGCAATTGTTTTATTCAAGTTTTACTGGTAAAAAAAACACCGTATGCGTATGTGAAGTTGTGAACTTTCCAAGGATGGAGACAAGGATATGATTAAAAAAAAAATCTTGGCTGTTTGGAGAGGGGAAAGAATTCCTCAAAGCACGAAAGATTTCACAAATGATCAAAATGGAGCGCCCGATGCGGCGCAAAAAAATGGGGTGCCCCCCACGTGCGCCTCCGCCTCGCCTCTCACGCACACGCGCCGGCTCTACCAGTACCACGTGTCCTCACCACTCGTGCTCCGTTGCAACAACTATCAGATATAACGGAAACGCTCTATTAGGGGGATTTGTTTTATTTTTTTTTCACCAACAATGTTTCACTATGTATGGATGAAATATTGCAGTAGATTTTAATACTGTTACATAATTTCATCTTAATGGACACGTGGTTTGTTGATGTACACGGGGTTTAAGCGTTGCAATAGCTTTAAATCGTTTGTTGTATACGTTGAACCAAATTATTTCATCTAGTAATCTTACTGTGTTTCACTTTTTTTAAGAATTGAAACATTCTTTCACTATTTGATAAAACATTGTTTTATATAGGGTGAGACAACGCCCGATTTTTTGGAAGCCGTTATATCATATGTTGTAGCAAAATGTTTCATGAGGTGATTTGGTTGTGTTCCAGCTTTTTACAAGATTGAAACATTTTCGATCTACTTAGTGAGACACGTTCATTTTACTTGGTGAAACAACGCTCGATTTGTAGGCGCCTTGGAAAGATTTGTAGCAAGATTCTGATTAGCGGCAAGATTAATATAAATCCAACAGCGACAAGTATTCGGATTGGAAACCGTGTCATGCACTCACGCGTTCGCGCCCTTCTCCGATTCGACTTCGCTTTTGATTCGGACTCCGTGTCGGACACGCAGTGGCGAAGCCATCGTAGGGGCCAGGGAGGGCCAACACCCCCCTAACCTCTATGTGACCTCCCCTCCCCTCTCTTCTCCCAAGGATGATTAGCACTTATAATCTAGCTATTAATTATATCATTAGTTGCAGATGAGACTAACTATATAGGACAGGACAACTGCCTAGCTATATATATATAGGACTTATGAAATGACTTAGCTAAATGATTTATCAATCATTTTAGAAGTGATTGCAAGACTCCAATTAATGAAACAAACTGTTCAATCATCCATATATTAAAAATATTACTGAATTTTAAATTGGCAAATCATGATATATGGGTTCTTATTCTCTCTTGTAGCTAATCGCTGTAATATGTATGATATCGAGTTACCGATCATACATCAACGCTACAAAATCACTGTTCACTAAACCTTAAGTGAGTTGCCATGTCTCGTAGATGGCACCCTCCATCTCTAAATCTTGGCTTCGCCACTGCGGACACGTACATGGCTGGCTATATAGGTCATTAGCATTAGGCCATCACTCATCAGTGCATTATCGAGAGCACGAGATGGCCTCGCGGATTCTGCCCGGCTTCTTCCGCCGCCGCCGCTCTTCCGCCGTCGTCCCGGCGGCGACTAAGGAGGAGATGCTGGAGCTGGAGAGGCGGCTGTGGGACATCGCCCCTGCGGCGGCGTACGAGCTGCAGAAGCGGCGGCACTGGACGCCGGAGCAGGTGGCGAGGGAGGCCGAGAAGCAGCGGTGGATCGCCGAGGAGAAGCGCCGCATCGAGAAGGAGACCAAGCGGCAGCAGCAGAGGAGGAGCTCCGGCTTCGCCGTCGTCGTCGTCGTCGATCTTGACAAGGAGCTTGGCGAGGAGTTCGAGAGGACGCGGTTCTACGAGGAGCTCCGGCTGCAACAAGCCGAGGCTCGCCGTGCGGCGGCGTCCAAGGTCGTGACGACGACGGAGGAGGAAGACGATGACGACGACGTCCCCGCCCGCGGCGACGAGGGCTACCTCGAGAGGCGCCGGGAACTCCTCGGACGTTACCGCCTCACGTAGGCCGCCGGCGCGCTGAGAAGGCGGCGCGGCGGACAGTCGCCGATGAGATCATGAGATCGGCCGCCGGCAAGACAGCAAGATGCATGTGCGCGGAGCGGCGGAGGACGATGGAGGCCTCGGCGTCAGATCAACCATGGCGCGGCGCGGCAGACTGAGAAGGCGGAGACGACGATGCTGGTTTATCATAGAATAAGATCAAAATCCTCTCTTCATATTTATTACCTGCAAAGCACCTCTTTGAAATGTTTATCATAGAATAAGATCAATATTGTCACTACTTGCCCTGAGAAAAAAGATTAATTAATACTGTCATATTTAAAATAGATACATCCATCTTGTGAAAATCAAATATTTTTCTTTTACAAAATCCACGTAATTCTAGGTACATTGAATTAACCATCAGTTTTACATAAAGGAAAAAAAAAAGATAAGTTGAGCATGGCAGTAAATGATGGCCAGTTCCTAATCTCGGCCCAGGCCAGCCCGAGTCATCTCAGGCCGGCCCAAGCCATGTCCATCGTCTGCCTACGCAAAAATGATTTGGTTTTTTTTTATGATAAGCTTAGTAGAATATTTGATCTTATAATTTTTTCCTTTATCCACTCTGGTAGGCTTGGTGTTCGCATTTGACCCTACATTTTTTTTTCTTTTTGGTGCCACACACATCTTTAAACTAGAAGTTGTTGTATTTGTGTCGAAACAAGATTTCGGCAATATAAAGGGATAGCGCACGAGACCTAAAAGTGGATGGATGTGGAGACAAGGATGTAGACAGGTTCAGACCCTCTCGATGAGAGGTAATACTGAGTTGCATGCACCGACCAGTTCAACCCAAAAGCTTAAGCTGATGAGGAAAGGCGGGCAATTCACTTTATATTCCAACACTCCCCCTCACGCGCGACCCCCTCAAGCCTCTATCGTGGAATAGAAGTGGGCTACAATTTTTATTTAATTGCGTGCCAGCCAGGATTCGAACTCGAGACCTCTTCGGTGGACCATCCGTGCTCTGCAGTCGGAATCCTCGATGAAGGATCTTGGCAGCTTGCATCACTTGTTGGGCATCTCTGTTTCTCGGCAATCCTCTGGCCTACATCTCAGTCAACGCCAGTACTATCTCGAGGTTTTGGAACATGCTGGCATGGCAGATTGCAAGCCGTGTGCTACTCCTGTTGACACCAACGCCAAGCTGTCTGCCACCGATGGTGCCCCGGTTCGTGACCCCACGGACTATTGGAGTCAAGCTGGCGCTCTCCAGTACTTGACTTTCACCAGGCCAGACATCTCCTATGCTGTTTAGCAGGTTTGCCTTCACATGCACGATCCACGGGAGCCACATATGTCCGTGGAACGGTTGATTATGGTCTTCACATCCGCTGCTCTTCCACTGTTGACTTGAGTGCATACTCTGACGCCGACTGGGCAGGTTGTCCGGACACCAGGAAATCCACCTCGGATTATGCTGTGTTCCTTGGCGACAACTTGGTCTCCTGGTCCTCCAAACGTCAGCTTACTGTATCGTGCTCTAGTGCCAAGGCAGAATATGGGGCAGTGGCCAATGCAGTGGCTGAAACTTGCTGGCTTCGACAGCTTCTCCATGAGCTCCATACCCCTCCGAGCCGATCCACACTGGTTTACTGTGACAATGTGAGTGCTGTATATCTCTCCTCTAACCCAGTGCAACATCAACGTACCAAGCATGTGGAGATCGATCTACACTTCGTTCGAGATCGCGTCGCTGCCGGATCTGTTCGCGTGTTGCATGTACCTACTACATCATAGTTCGCCGATATCTTTACTAAAGGGCTACCCAGTGTCATCTTCTTGGAGTTTTGGTCCAGTCTGAATGTCCGTTCCACCGACGTTCCGACTGCGGGGAGGGGGAGGGGGTGGGGGGGTGTCCTTCCTTAATCTTCTCCGATATTGTTTCTATATATCGGTTGCTAGATATGGAAGGCATGTGCCTATATGTACTCTACCATATGTGATAATCTAATCTATCGTGTTGAGCCTATCACACTTTCAAATACCCTACTCCTGTTGGGCATTTGAATCCGCCGGGTCTAGTATTGATCTGACGTTCAGGTTGTGTCAATATGCCCCCTAGAGGACCTTCTGCCCACCTTATATAGGATAGGGGGCAGGATTACAAGATACAAGCCTTAACTAATACGGTATCGGTTTCCTAAATCTACTTTACAATATTATCAAATCAGGACTTTAGGCCATTCCGTAATATACAAGGAAACGTAATACCTAAGTCATGATCCGTTACATATTACATAGATATAAGATATCCCCTATAACCAGTCAGATAACCATTTCGTGTGGGTATGGAGTACCCATAATCTCCACAGTAGCCCTCGAGACCTTTAAAGTCGAAAAGATAATCTTCTCTCGAACTAGATGACTCCAAAGCCGAGTGCTTCAATCATCTTCGCCATGGTCTCCTGAGTACTTTTACCAAATCTGAAGACTGTGGAGGCCTAAAAAATAATTAAATATAAACTTAGGACTTAGGTGCATCGACTAGATGCACCTAATAGGTGTAGCCCCCGACTGTGGTTAGTTGAACAAACTAAACATATAGTCAAGGAGTAAATAATCTAATCAACTGAGTGGCTTTGATAATTGTAGTCAACCAAGTGACTTAATATTAATATATAGCATATGCGGTGTGAATCCCCGAATAACATGATCCGAGTGATATACCGTCTGCTTTATAAAATATAATGCGTGCAACCCAAAGTTGACTACATCATTGAAAATTCACATAACAAAACAGCTACAAAGAGGCTTGTATGCTGTGAATAAACAAATTTCCAAAGTATCGGGCACACACACCATGCGCACATT